GTATAAGAGACAGATTCATTTCACGCTTTTCCTCCCCGTGGGAGCGGGCAGACACGTTTGCCAGAAACTTCTAGCGCAGTTAGCATGCAATCTTTTTTTTTTTTTTTTTTGGCTTTTATCGAGGCAGAGCCTGCTGCAGAGCGTGGTCCCCGTGCAGCTCGGGGACTGGCCGGGCACTTTCCTCCACCGGTTCTGCCTCGGCCCCCCCTGCTCCTGGGGGGACGTTGGTGCGAGGAGCGGGTCCGAGTGCCCTGCGTCAGCGTAGGGGCTGGGACGCTCCACGTGTAGGGGAGGGACGGTAGCCGCTTAGAATATCACCGCAGATCAGCGCTCCCCAGCGGAGCAAACTCCGAGGTAACGTGTCTTAACTTTCGGGAAGTTGAACAGAATATAATAAAGGTGCAGCATATAATTAAAGTTCAGATGTCTTAATTAGGGAATCTGAGAGAGCTCGCTTGGAGATAAAAGAGTAGCAGATGTGTTAGTGATGAAAAGTTGACATGCTATAGAGGAAACCTAAAATCAAAAGCCCATGAAATGTTTCATGCTCCATTATTGCCGAATGAATCTGTAGTTCAAAGTCTTCCCGACTACTTAGTGTATTCAGTTTGATCATCTGGGCATTGATACGTATTTTTTATTTTACATCTCCTCATATTTACCTTCTCCTGCCCAGTGATTTTGATGAGTCTGTGCCCCTGTACGTAACATAAATACCGTGAAGAGCGGCAGCGTTTGAGTCTCAGCAGGTCAAGTACGTCTGAGAAACGGTTCTCGGTCACGAAGAGAAACATCCCCGTGCCGAGAAGCGTCCCCGTAGCCGTGTTCCTCGTTAACAGTGCCCCAGCAGCAGCAACAGGAGCGTTCAACTGCAATTGTCAGAAAAATATTGACTTTTTTTTATTAAAAGGGCTTGGTGAAATTCTTCATACCTCGAAATTGAGATTTAGCAACGATGTTCTCGTTTCTGTGTATTTGTTACTATCTCTGAAGTCGTTGGGAACATCCTGCCGAGGTGTAGTCGCAGAGGAGGGGTAGTGAAGTCGAGGGCCCGGGGCAGAAAGCGAGATCCATCCACGTGCTGTCGATCCTGAGCTTGTGGGGCGCAGCAGGGCCGCTCCCACAAACCTCCCACCCAAACGTAGCCGTAGAGAACCAGCAAAGCACCACTGTGTCTCTCTCTGTACATGTAAACTGTGCTTTTTGTTGTGGAAAGTGTGCAGTTTATTTTTCTTATGCCTCCCCCATTCCATTTCTCTCTCTCTCATTGACTAATTTATGCTGGGTTTCATTTATGTTTTTAATTTTTTTTTTTAGCGTTGTAGAAGGCAAAACGGGGGAGAGTTTCGGGGCCAGATTCTCCAGCTAGAGTAAGTCCACGCGCAGCTGCCGAGGTGCGGGCGAGCTCGAGGCCGTGTCCGGCTGCCGAGGATCTGGCCCGCTGTCCTTAAAGCCAGCTGGGCCGTCTCCACCTGGTTTTAGAGGAGGAACGGCCTCCGACAGCCGTGCTGCTTCTTAGCGTCCTTGTTTCTCTCTGATCACGATTGACCGCTGTTGTGTTCTGCTTGTTTTTTCTTAATTTGCTTTTTTATTATTTTCCTTTTTATATTTTATCCAGATCCCCCCACAACTATCCCTCCTCCCACAACAACCACCACCACTACCACCACCATCCCTACCACCATCACAGGTATGGTACCTTCATAACCATTGGAAATGTCCTGAATGTTTATTGTCTTTTATGTATATAAGCAGAGCGTGAAGCCTGGGGAAAAACAACAAACAAATCACTTGCATTTTTTTATTATTTTTTTTCCTCAAATCCACGCACCGTACAGCGCGAGGCCTGGTCCGGCAGTTCGATGAGTCGGACAGTCCTTACCGCAGGTGTTTCTGAGACGTGGGAATTGCCGTGGCAGAAAAAGCTGTTAATTCGGTTACTGGTGGCTGATATTGGGTACTTTTAACCGAGGGGTCCAGACAGCCCTAGAGCTCGTTTAGTGCAGACAGTTGTTGCAGCCTCAACCCCATCAGTAGCAATTTCCGAGCAATTTAGACCTGGAAGCAGGATGTTTGGTCTTCAGTAATTTAATTCGCCTCACGTGACTCGAGATGCTTTTTCCGATGCCTCGGTGTTCGGTCTGTCTCTGTGATAAGCCCTCTACCTCGCTCTCCCAGAAAAGCGAATTCCACCAGTCATTTTTGGAGTCGAACATCATCTGTAGGACCCTTTTTGAGGAGCTGGCTTTTAGCCTTTTGAGTTTTTCCCCGCCTTGCGAGAACAGATGAACAAACCCAACCGGCTGGTCACGAGACACCTCTCTCTTTCACACACATCCCTCATACTTCCTCACTAGACCCAACTCTCTCCACTCATAAGGAAGGCTTTTCTGATTTATTTGTGATCATTTGCATTGTCATTTTTCTGATCTTTTCTGTTTCAACTGCTGCTTTTGCTTTGGCTTGCTTTTTTTTCCCCCCCTTGTTTTGAGGTAGAGGTGACAAACCGAAGGTGAGAATGGACCATTGAATAGCTAATGGCCTAATGTTTATTGTTGCTCTGAACCATCCCCTGTGTAAATGCCGTCATGTTTTATTTGCTTTTATGATGCTGCTCAGCTGACTCTAACCGTCCTGCTCAGGGTGTTTTGTGGCTTCTTTCCTTCTGAGGTTTTTGCAACCAAGTCAGACTCCGCTGGCATGGACAAGCAGTCGAAGTCTTTCTTCCAACGTGCCTTAACGTGCGCTGCGCGTGCGCCGTCTGCCATCGCCATCGTCTTGTCCAGACCTTCCCATTCCCTGTCTTCCTCTTTCCAGGTGCTTATCCATAAAACCGAACTCCAGGCACCCAAGTTCAGATGCTTGAGACCCTCCACCGTGAAGGCTCTTTCCCGTTTTGCGATTTGCTGGCTTTGTTTCAGTTCTGTTTTTAATTTCTTAACTTAACCAGCTTTCATTTCAGAGTAGGTCTCAAACTTTGTTAAACTCTCCTTAAGAGCCATTTGCAGAGAAACTCGGTCCCGTGTAAATGGATCTGCAGACGGTTTTCTTGTGTTTTATGGTATTTTGTTCATGCTTTCAGTGAATTTTGGAAGGCTATAAGGAAGAATTTCTCTTGATGCTTGAATGACCCCGTTCAGTTTCTGTCGGTGCCCGCAAGCATTAAGGACTGTCCTTTTCCCGGGAACTGGACTGCGATCGGCCTGTGGACTCAGGGATGGCCCCAGGACTGGCTTCCCACGCGCGCGCCGTCCTCGCCTGCCACGGCAGGCTCTCAGGTGTCGTGGCTGTTCCTCACAAGGAGCGGGTTTGTTGTTTGCTCTCCCACTGCAAGCGTTGCAACTTGTTTGCGAGTTTTCAGTAGCCTCTGGGCTTCTAGGCTCTCCTCCAGGGTAGTTTTCTAGCTCTTTGGTATGAAAGATAAGAAGGGGGGGTGGCTGGTCCTTGGAGTCGGGACTGGCTATGACCAGGCCTCCCGTCGAGCGGAGTTCCAGCGCAGCTGGGGCCTGCCTGCGGCGGTTGCTTGCCCCGGTCTGGCAGTGGCCCCGGCAGGGTTTCTGCCCCGCTGATGGGAGGGTGATGCCCCGGAGCTGCTTAGCACCCACAGCTACAGCTCGAGGTGCTTCTTGAGTCCGTGTCTCCAGCTGTAAGAACCCCCCCTTGAAGCTTTCCGACGGGGTTGTGTTGGACGGGGCGGCGCCGGGGTGGGGGGTTTCGGGGAAGGGAGGACCTGGCGTGCCGCTTTCTCGGCCGTCCTTGGCCGCTTTCCGTCGGAGCGAACTGTTGCCCTGCAGATCAGCGCTGCCCGTTGTGAGGGTGCTGCTCCCTGGGGAGGACAGTTTGTCGCACCCAGAGACGCACTGGGCGGTGGCTCCTCGCGTGCTGCGCAAGCTGAACCGTGGGTCACTTCGGTATCAGCCTGGCAGAAGGACTTTGGGATCAGGAGCGTGTGGCTGTCCTCCCCCGTTTTTCTGCCACCTTTGCTTGCCGTGATGGAGGATCTAAAACCCCGAGGTCACTGACATCCCGCTGGCAAAACCCAGCTGGGTCCCCATCACCTCCATGATGCGTTTCTGTATTGACTGTGAACTGTTGAAGAGGCCAGAAACTTAACAAAAATGGGATATTGTTCACCAATTCCATCAGTTCCTGCTCACGATACGTAGGAAGATCAGTTAATGCTGATGAGAGAAATTTTTATATTCCTCCATGACACAGATCTAACGCTGAGTCTTCTTGATGTGGGGCTTCACGTCTCCTGCCCACAAGTCCAGCTGCTTCTCCCACAAAAAGCAGCTGAGGCTTCGCCCCCCGCCTCGGCGCAGAGACCAGCACGTGTGTGTTTTCCAGGCAGCGTGATGCTGCAGAAACTTTTGTTCTTCAATATTTAAAGAGACTTTGTAGCTGGAAAAAATTAGGTCAAATTAACATAATCTCTAGAATTACACAGCATAGTAGTGTTGAAACACTTTTTAAAGCCTCGAGAGACAACTGATACCTTAATTCCCATCATCACCAAAACGCTGAAATATTCTTCTCGTGCGATGGAAGTGCTTAGGTAGCAGACGGGGTGTTCCGTGTCTCAGCGGGGTGCGAGCCGTCTGCCTGCCAGCCGGGCTGAAAACCCTTCCTTAGGAGGTGGAGGACTTGAAATGTGCTTTATTTTGTCTTTTTCCTCCAACTTCTTATATAATACTGGCCTAGGTCATCTTCCTTGAAGCCATAGAGTAGTTCTGAAACTGTTGTCTTGCTTTCACTTTTTTTAAAAAAAAAAAAAAAAGAGGAGAGAGGGACTTGTGCTGAAACAGTTCCGATGTCCAGAGCTGGGGTTGTAGGCGTGCTGTCCTCCCCACCGACCGCCCCAGGGAAACATCGCTCTGGGGAGCAGTGCTTGGGGGTTAGGGAATTCATTTCTCCTGCTAGAAGTGTCCGAGAGGAGAATCTGAAAGGGCTGGACGGCAGCTGCACGCGCGTGGTCAGCGCCTCCTCCTGTGCACGTCCCGGCCTCAGACGTGGTTTTCACTCGCTCCCACGCAGCCCTTCTCCTCCGAACACCTCCGCCGGGATGCGGACGCGCAGCCCTGCCCCGGGAGTTTCTCTCGGAGCGGTGACGGACGCCGCTCAGCGAGCACGAGGCAGAGCAGGAGGTGCCGCCAACGGGAGGGGACGGGCAGCGCGAGGGGCAGGCGCGTGACGGGGGCTCCGCGCGCTCCCCGCGGGCTCCCCGGACCCACCCAAGCCCGTGCCCGGGGCGAAGGGGGCTGCTATCAGCCCCTCTTGCTCGACACACGTCCCGTCTTGCCGCCGCTGCCCGCTCGGCCCGCGAAGGCACGCTAAGGCGCTTTTCTGGCAGGGAGGGCTCGGGGAAGGGCTCTGAAGAGCCGACCCGCTGCGCTGCTTCTTTCCAGGAGAAGGAGAAGCCGAGCAGTGGTGAAGTTTCCGAAACAGCACGACCTCTAAAGCTTTTCCTCTGTCGCTGCCGCTTTGCTTTGGTGTAGGTGCTTGAAAAGATTTCCTGCGTGACAGTTTGATCTTCCCCGTACATCCTCCGCCTGCATTGATATTCCGACCACCCTTTGGTGGTTCAGCTGTTATCGCCGAAAAGCCCTTTTTTATCAGTTCGAATTGTCCTTGTGGCTTTGTTCATTAAGATGTACAATATGATACAGCCGAGCAAACTGCATAATTTGAATTACCCCTAGAGTCGTTCCTTGAAATGCTGGGCTTGGACAGCTGTTGTTTCCTGGGAGATAAAGGTTTTTAACAATCGCCCAGGCCTCGTCTTCGGGCACGGCGCGGCGCGGAGCCTTTCAGCCGGCCTTTTCAGGCAGCTTCTGCTGCCTTCTGGTCTTGCTTAGCACATACACCTCCACACCGCGGGATCTACGGTATTATTTGTACGTGCACATTTGCATTTATCCCACTTTCTCTGCAGATGGATCACGCAGGTGCCTTGGCAACAGTTTCAGTGGAGACCCGGGGGTGCGGCGCGCCTGCACGTTACCCGTATTTCAAGCCTTGCAACGGATGCTGCCAGTTCTGCCCCCGCTGCCTGTCACGCAGCAGTGTGAACGGCCAGCTGGCAGATGCCACAGTGGCCTCTCTTTAATGCCACTTTAGACTGGACTTTAAACCCCACTGGTGCCTCAGAGTTTGTGGTGGCAGGTGGGGGTTGGTGTTCAGGCAGCTGAAACGTTGCTGCCAGTGGTTGTAGGTTCAGACTTCCCTGAGGTGCTGAAGCCTCCCGTGCTGCGGAAACACCCCGCATCCCTCCTTGGGGCTGGGGATTTTTCTTGGCAGGAGCCGGTGGGCTCCATCTGACGGGAAGGTTGACCAGTGGGCGAGCTCCAAAGCAGGAGCTGTTCGTCGGCGCGGAGTGCCTGTCGCCCCTCGTCCAGGGGCCCGTCGTAGCTGAGCTCTCTCTTGGCCCGTGCCGGCGCGGGGCGAGGGCAGCGGCTCTGTCTGCCTGGTGTGGCCTCCCCACGTGCCAGCTCTGGGGTCCACTAAACCCCACGATTTCGTGTCATCAGGGAAATATTAACGTGTGGGAATCTGAAAGTCTTTGAGGAGGAATAGTGTCGCAGGTCTTCAGAGCATGAATTCACATGCGGGAGAACTTCCTCAAGGTGAGGGATGATTTCAGCCTCCATGGAAGTCTGTTCTTTTCTGCTTAGAGCTGGTTGTGGGACAACCTGCAGTGGCCCAGGGTTTACTCCGGCAGAACTCCGCGGAGGTGGTGGGCAGGAGCAGCGCAGGAGCGTTCCTCGCTCAGATGACCCCGCGGTAGGTTGTGGGAGGCGAAGGGGCGGCGTGGGGATGGCCCAAGGACGCGCGTCCCAGCCGAACCGCCGCTGGGCGTCTCCTCAGGCACGGGCACATGTGCGCGTCGCCGCTGGTGCTGGTGTCTGCGGGGAATCGCACCTAAACGGGACCCACGCTCCTTCCCAGCGCCCCCAGATGTGGGCGGGTGGGCGGCTCCCGCCCGGCTGCAGGGATCCCTTCACCGCGTTCTCTCCCCGTTTTCGGGGCGCTCTCCCTTGCTGTGTGTCCAGGTGCTCAACGGCACCGTGCAGGCACTCAGCCCAGTGATTTGTTCCCCAAAATTATTTATTATTTAACTTTTGCTTTCCGTTGAAGCCTCTGCATGTCCCTGATGAAATGTCAAGTTAATTTAAAGATGATGCTGTGCTCTTCTGACATTTTCATCCAGGATGTGACTGCATTAAAGAGAATAAAGGAAGAGAGAGTAGCTGACAGGCCTTGTACAGAAAATAAAACGAAATAAGATTCAGTCTTCTAGTGCCTCATCCAGGTGGTAGCGGGCACGGTACTGGCAGGTCTGCTCTTCGTGGAGGTGACCCAGTGTAAGCGGTGCAGAAACCATCGTTCTGCTGGGCAGAAAACGTGCGTGTGTAAGAGAGCGAGGGCAGAGGGCCGGTCCCCTCCGGGTAGCAGCGGCCAGCGCCCCAAGGCGAGGGCAGAGCCGTGGGACGACCGCCCTGCCCGCCCAGCGTGGTCTTGGCTGCTGGTGGGACCGTGGGCAGGTGTGACGTTCACACGGTTGGGTTTAAATAAAACCCAATCCTCGCAGATCTTTGTGGAAAAACACAAAAAGGCGTAGCCGGAGCCACAGCGCTAATTTCGGAATATTTTTGTTCTTGTCACACACAACTTCCATACAGATTGTGATTATTTTTGTGAAACATCTGGTGCGCAAATCAAAGTGTCTCTGGGGTGCATTGCAACATGCCCGCGCACAAAAGCTTTCGGCGCGAGCTGGAATCACGTTACGGAGGATCATCACAGAGTATCATCATGCAAAGTACGTTTTTACCCATCCTCCCGAGGAGCGTTTAGCGAGGGAGAGCGTTTGCACCCCGGGGGGGGTGTCACCCCCTTTGCCCCTTGGCCATGTCACGGCAACGCAACATCCCTGCCGACGGGCAGCGGCGCTTGCTGGGGGAAGGACGGGGATCTGTGTCGGGCTCTTTACCAGCCTTAACAACCTGAAACAAAGCCACAGTCCTGGTTGTAAGAGCGCGAGCTGGTCCCTGAGGCTGCTGTGAAAGCAGCAACGTGAAGGAATTCGCACTGGCCCCGGTCAGTAAATGTGAAGTAGTCTGGAAAATCAGGAAGAATAATAAGAGCTCCACAAGTCAGTGATCAGATTGGGTTTTGTTTTCCGTACAGAAAGCCATTTAAAAAGCAATGCACTGGATGGATATCTATACTTACTAATAACGCTTTCAGTTTTTTAAGAAAAGGGGCGTTTTGCTGTTGTTCTGGTGATGCGCTGTTGTAATTCTCCTCACAATAGCTGTGTGGTTTTAAGCTCCAGTGTATCGTGCGCTTCCGTACGGCTGCAGCACGGCAGCTCGAGCATTCAAGTTGGTGAATTTAATTTTGCTGCCGGGGTTTTAATATTCCTCCACCGTGCTCGTTCTGTTTGAGGCTGTGGACTAATTACGGACGAGTTTAAAGGGCCCAGTCTGTCACACTCCACAAACAGTTTGAAGTTGGAGAGAATCCATTTGAAAAAATGAGGAGGCTTGGCAATGGAGCTCGTAACTCAAGTAAATGTTGCCCAGATGCCTTCATGCAGTAATTTTATAAATGTGTGTATATATGTGTGCGTGCGCGCTTGTGTAGCTACCTAATGAGGTGGTGAGTGCCGAACACTTGGGTGTCATCCGAGTTTTCTTAGCTGGCAGGTAGCACCATCTGTGTGGCAGGACGCCGTGTGCCGGTGCTGTCGCTCGCTCGCGGCCTCAGCGACCGGCGCCGGGAGGAATCAGTGAGGGGAAAGGCGCAGCTTTAGAGAGGCCAGGGGTTCCTTTCCTGGATCCCATCTCCAATTATAAACCTGCCCCCCAGTGACTTTATCTACTTGTCGATTTTGAAAGGCCGTTGCATTGTTTTGCTTCTCCCCATAGAACAAATTCTCTTGTTTTTCTGATGAGACTCGGGAAGAGAAGCCTTTATCTTGAGATGAGAAGTACCACGTTGAGCCTCTTTTTTTAATGTGCTTTCTCCGTTCTCTGCTTTGCCCCATCAAGTGAGCCAGCCCTTTTTGTGGCACCAACTTCAATCAATTTTAAATCGTTTTAAATGCTGAGCATCAGCTTCATGTGATCAGCTGATCTTTAAGGCCCCTTCCAACCCAGAGGATTCTGTGATTCCCTGATTGAGTGCCAGCTCCCCACACCGATGGCTCGGGGCCAGAACGGTGCTTTTGGGTGACGGCAAAGCCTTTCATTGGCCTCGTTCAACCTTTGTTAAGTCAGAAACGTGTCAAGGACTTTCTTGTTGGTCCATATTGGAGGAGAAAAGATGATTTTTCTTCTAGGACGTGGGGCAGAAGCCTAATCTCTGGGGTGCTGCAGGTCTGGTCCAGCACGTGGATGTGGCTGTTCTTGAACGCGAAGCAGAGGTCACTGGCACGTACCTGGAAGCCAGGGAGGCACGTTGGAAGTCGGCCGGTCCCTCTTAAAATTGTAGGTTGTCGTGGCGGCGGCATCGCAGGGCGGGGGCTGTTCCTTGGTGCGTGAGGCAGAGCAGCGGCGCCGTTGGGCGGACGCGGTTCTCCACGTGTTCATTAATGTCGTGCCAAATCTACGTGACCACGTTTCTCTCCTCACCGCGCGACTGCTGCAGTCGGGTGCCTGCGTCGGGGCTGTTCTTTGCTTTTCTTTGCCACGAGATGATTCCTCTTCGGAGCGCTGTGTGTGTGCGATCCTCCTTCTCAAAGAAGATCTGGGATTGAGAAGGACTTCCAGGAAACTCCTTCTAAACTTTAACCGGTCTGTGTTTCCTATTGCAACCATCCAAACCATTTGCTAATCATAACTTTGTCATTCCAGCTGCAGCCAACATGTTGTTTGACTTGGATATTTGTTCGCACTTACAACCGCTTGAGAACTTTATTTTTTGTAACCTGTTGGTCTCTGTCCCCAGACGGGGAAGCGAGATGCACTGTCCAGTTTGCACTGTTTCTTGACTAATATCTCTTCCAGCACGTCAAGTTTGCTTTCAGCAGATTCTCTATTTAGCGTAAAAGCTGACGTAACTTTTTTTGTTTCAGGAAGACAGTAAATTGAGATTATTTGTAGATGCCAAGATGCTATCTCAGGAATTAATACTCAGTTTTACAACCCTTTCTAAACAACAGCTTTCCCCCCACCTTCACCCCCATTTTCCCCTTCACCATTTGCTTGGTTAAAACGAGGCATCGCTTGGGGATTGCAACCCGACAAGCAAGAAAAGCCCCGCTCTTGTTCTCCTTCCGCTTTGGACGGCTTCCTCGCAGCCTCCGCCAGAGCTCCAGCAGGAGAACAAGCGCTCGCGTCTTTAAGCGTGCGTTAGGCTGGATTGCCAAGCTGAGAACAGTCTATGTTGGCAGTGGAAACAGGCTAATGACGGCTTGATAATCTGTTATGCAAATCTTGGTGCAGTTTGTTAAATTGTGCAGGGTTTATTTGTTTTGCTTCCATCATTAAAGCATGTAGACCTTGTATCTGTAAGTATTGTGTACTCCTTGTATGAATCTTGTCTCCACTGGTGCTTCAGGAATTCAGGCCTGGGCTGTCCTCAGCTAAATTGCCAAGGGACGGGTCCTCCTTCCCCCGCTGCTGCCCGTGCCCGGGCGGGAGGACTGCCCGTCCGGGGCTCCTTGGACAGCATCCTAACGAGGGGAAACACCAATGGGAGTTGTCTGTCCTTGCTACAAAACTCAAGCTCGGGGCCGCTTTGCAGAAGGATGTGGCGGAGCGCTGCTCTGCGCTTACTCCTACAACGTTACTGGTTCAAACATCGCCTGCATCGAAGCGAGGAGAGTCGTGCGAAGCCTCGGCTGAGCTGTCAGCCCGAGGCTGCCGGTGGGGGTTTGCAGCGTTAGAGATACCTTGGGAGGAGCCAGCCTGCTAAAGCAAGAGGCCGACACCACAGAACTCGTAGAACCCGATGAAGGGTAAATGAGTTTCAATATAGAAATGACTGGCTTGTTCACTTAATGTGAATCACTTGGGTTTAGACCTGTCGGTGCAGAGGGAATACTGTAGGACACTGTCAGAAAAGGCCGTCAGGTTTGGGTCAGTCTTTAAAAGTGCCTGTTGCGAGCACCTGTGAAGGGGTGAAACATCTCTCCATTGGCAAGGCAGCAACCCCCGAGAAATTCCCAGCGGCACGAAATACGTGTGGAGTAAAGGCAGCCCGAGACGAGCGACAGGGAAAGCTCCAGCGTATTTATTTACCTAGAACTGTGCACCAGTTAACGGTGGCAGCAGAGGGACTGGTGATGTCTGTCTGCGTTCGCCAAATCTAGAGCACAGCCGCACGTCGTGCAGGTGCGTGGCTCGGCACAGGCGAGGCCGAGGGCCGCTCCCAGCTGCGGGGCTCCAGGTGAGGTCTCCAGCAGGCTCTTCGATTTGAGCGGTTGCTCCCCCCTCCCAGAGGGCTCCAGGGCTGCGCCACGTACTGACGCGCATGGAGGGAGGAGGAGAGGCTGGGGGGGGTCAGGCCCTGGCGCTTCGCTGCAGGCAATGTCTGAACGTGTGAAAACCCTTTTCCAAGTGTCGGCTCTTTGTCCTGGTCCTGAGCTTCTGTTTTGGTCCTCACCAACTAAAGCGTTGGTGTCGGTGTTCTCCCCCCGTCTCCTGTTCCCCTGATTTTGCAACCACCAGTAATTGTTCTGGCAAGGTCCTGAAAAAAAAGAGAAAAATTTACTGTTTTCCTCAGGCTCATAGCTTTTGAACTGGAGGCATGTCTTCTAAACAGTGCAACTCACTTCAAATGCTTTTTGCCTTTCATTTTATTATTGCTTGTCACGCAATGTTCTTTGAAAGCTTGCTCATATATTATCTGTTCCATTTTTTCCATTTTCCCTTTTTTTGCATGCTGTTCCTCCTGTTTCTTCCCTTCCTCCAATCCTCTGTTCCCGTGTGTAGACACAACGGCGACGACAGAACCGGCAGTTCACGGTTGGTATCACATTCCTGTTTATCTTATTTCTCAGCGCTGCTGAGTGGCAAGACAAGCCTGGGAAGGGGAAGCAAAAGAGGGAAATGCAGTCTTCAAGGGAAAACCGTTTCAGGTGGACTGATCTCATAAATATAACAGAGTTTTTAAGGCTGGAAAGTCTGTCTGCTCTTGTCATTTCTGCTGTGAGCTTCGCAGACGGTTGCTCCAGTGCCAGGCGAGCACCGATCCCCCAAGCCCCACGGAAGCGGCGACGAGCCCGCACGGTGCTGAGGGCGCGGAACCCTCGCCCGCTCCTCTGGATGACACAGGGCAATCGCGTCACACATGAAAAAGGGATCTGGCCTTCGGAAACAGGAGTTCAAGTTCCATTTTTTAAGAGCTGAGGGAAACCTTGAGCGCTTTCCTTCCGTTCTGAGCTGCCGAGGCAGCGCGTGCGGCAGGCCCGCCGGCGCGGGGCAGCGTCGCCTGTTCGGGGACGCTCCGCAGAGGAGCGCTCGCTACGGGGGTCAGCGGTGGAGTTGCATTGTTACGCTGCAGAAGGAGATGGGGAAAACAAACAGCAACACTCTCCTGTCGGCATAGCAGTCTAGCAACCTAACCCTTCTCATCTGCTCAAGGCAGCCGAGCTAACAGCTTGACAGCTTCCTTAGCTTCCTACATTCTCAAAGTGAGCCTAAATAGGCACTTCAGGCTGGAAGTTGAGCATACCGTTTTTTGGCACGAGCTCGCTTTTCAGCTAAAGAACCAAAACCTCTGACAACTTTAATTAAGGCTAATCCATATTTGAGTCTGCTATTTTAGTGCCTTTTCACTCTGATAAACCGGCTGTTTCTTCTATTGACAGAAATCCGTAACGCTGAACAACCTCTTTTTCCAGCCCGTCGCCGGCGCGGCGGCCCTTGGCCGATGGCAGAGGGAGCACCGAGGAAAGGGGTGGCTGAGTAGTGACGGCCCGTGTCAAGTGGAGGGACAGGCACTTCTTGTCCCAAATAACTTACCTGCTTGGGCGCGCTTTCTCACTTGACATAAAGATTGGAACCTTCAGTCACGCTCCATTTCCTGGACGGTGCTGGTCGCCCTGGGTGCGTTTAATGTCAGGATTCCGCATCGGCGATTTTGTAGCAGCTGCCATGGAAGTCAGGGCCAGGTAGTGAAAGTCCAAGTGCTGCCTCATCCCGCAGCACGCTCACACGCGGGAGAGTCGGGTGGAGCCGGAAGGTCGATGACGCCATCGCTAAGCCGTGGGGAAGCCTCCGAGAGCCGACCCTGAAGGCGGTTTTAATTCCCCGCAGCTCTGCTGAGCTGGGAAGGGTCCGGCTGCTCTTCCAAGCACCGGCCGGGCGCTTCGCTCTCTGAGGAGCGGCTGAGGAGAGCCCCGGGGCTCGGCCAGGAGGCGGCTGCACCCGCTGCCCCTTCCGCACCCCGTGACTCTGGGTGTAGCCGGGGCTTCGCGCCTCGGGGGTAGGGAGAGCAGTCAGGGCAGGGTCGACCCCAGTTTGGCCAAGGGACTCTGCTGCCAGTGCTGGAGTTGGCTGAGAAAGAGAAGATGCAGGCGGAAGGACGGCGGCCCGCAGCATCAGGAAACAACACCAGGTTTTTTTCTGTTTTTGTCGGGCAACCCTAGAAACGTGCAGGAACAGATGCTGACCCCTCAATTTGGGAAAGATCCAGCGGCCCTGACAGCGGCGCGGCTGCTGACGTCATTCCTAGCCGTCTCGCTGAGCCTTGCCCGGCACGCAGCTTGCGTTAGGCCCCGGCGTGGGGACGTGCTGGGACGCTGCGAGGCTGCGGGGCGGGGGGGCACACGCAGCCCTGTCTGTCACACAATTCCTGATGGCTTTTGGCGCTTTTACCGTGCTGGGGCCAGCCGCAGAGCCTGGTTTTGGCTCAAGGACGACCTCGGACTGTTGCCACCTCCGTGGGGGAGGAGTGCCGCTGCGAGGAGCCCGACAGCTGAAATGACGAAGCGATCCCGCTCAAATGAGCCGCTACAAACTTTCCTGCCTTAAAAGCCAGCCAGGTCCCCGGAACTCCCCTGCGCTTGCCCTCAGGGGGTGCTTTTCCCGTGAAGACTCGGGGGGTTCTTTCCAAGCTTGTGTTGCTGGAGTGTGTATGGAGTATACCAGGTGTTTCTGTATGTTGGCCATTTGTTCTTACCGATGTCCGATGGGAGTGAGCATGTCTGTGAATGACTAGAAATGCATGGGCATGAACTACAGCCAAATGGATTTTCTCCAAAAACGATTTTAAATGAATTGGGGGAAGAAAAAACAAAACTGAAACGAAACTAACAAAAAAAAACCAAAAAACAAAAAACACAACCAAAAAAGAGATTGATAGCAAAGAAAATGCATTGTAAGGCTAGTGTGGAGCCAGCTCAATACTTCAATCGGGGAAAGGATTTTTGAGTCCTTCAATTTTTTGGAGTGTATCCTAGAGGACTGGGGGGAGAGGAGTCCTGTATGTGTGTGCATGTCAAAGCGGTAGCAAAGCCCCTGCCATTCCCGTCTCCCTCTGGAATGGAGTTGACGGCAGCGATGCATGAGTGACTTAAAGCACGAACGTTGTTAACTCTTTTGTTGAAAAATGAGAGCTTAATTGTAAATTTTCTGATGCACTTTCTCCTTTCTCTGCACTGTTCATTGCCAGAACTCCAATAACAGCATGGTCATGGCCGGCAGGAAGGCTTGTGCTTCTGCTGCACCGCACTAAGCCGGGTTTGCCCAGCTTAAGCCCCCCTTCCCTCTCATTTTGCCCTTCCTGGTGTCAGGGTGCCGGCGGGGCCGAAATGGCAGTTCCTGCCTGTTCGCAGCCGAGCTGTGGGCAGAGCTTGGCGGAGCCGGGAGAGTAACGTCTCCGAGAGTCGGCCACCGCTGAAGCCGGAGAGAAAACACTTTTTCTGCCGTGCCCGCCCTCTTCTCCTCTCCCACCCCTCTCCCTCTCAAAATCAACGTGCGAGCTTTGAATTTCCGAGCCCCTCAGCAGGCCGGGGCGCTCGGCCTCGGCAGGGCTGCTGCCCAGCGCGGGAGCCCTGAGGAGACGCCCCCGCTCACATTTTTTTCCCCTGTGCACGCAGAGCGTGTATACGCAGCCACGACCTCAGACGTGATGGTCTTTCGCTGCAGTGAAAGCAATGACTTAATTTTGCCACTTTTTCCCAAATTTTACCCTGGCCTGTGTAAGCAAAGAGCTTTAGGAGCTCCCGATGGATTCTGGAGGGCCGGGGCAGCGGCAGCGGGCTGTGGGCAGCCCTGTGCGTACGGACGTGTGCTCGGCGAGGGGGAAGCGCGGAGCCGCTTTTCGGCTCCCCCGCCGAGGCAGAAACACGGCGCCGCTGCCTCGGCACAGGCAGAATTTCTGCTCGTCCTCACGAAAAGGTAGGGTGAAAAAAAATCTCTTCTGAAGCTGGCAAAGCAGGAAGTCTGGAGTGGAGGTTAAAATAACGAAAACATCCCAGTGGTGAATGAAGAGTGACAAGGAAATACCTTGCCCATAATACAGCAGGTAAATTATTTTATAAGCTGGAAATTCTTCCCCAACCATATGAATTTTTAATTACAGCCTTAGCAGGGTTCTGCACAAGAGCATTTAACACTACTGTGTTGAGCTCGCGTTGCTTTTTCCGATAGCGCCCCGTCTCTGGGAAGGAGTTGTCCTCATGCGAAGCCAAAGGCGCAGCCGTGCCGGAGCGCTGCCTGGCTCGCAGGGCTCGCCAGATGCCGCCGCACTCGAGGATCAGGAGCCTTGGTGCTTTCTGCCTTAACGCTGTCAGGCGGCTCTGCAGCTCCCACTGCCTTTTCCCCTTTCGAGAACGCCCGACTTAAAAGTGCAACTAATAGTAAATACATCCCTAAACCTCTCCTACGGATCCAGTCCTTGGGGCAAGTGACTAAAACATCACGGAGCTCTCTGCACACGTTAAGGTTTCTGTGCAGTGCCGTGGAACACGCCGCATAAAACAACCCCGAGCTGCTAATTTACAGCTTAATTACAGACAGAGAATTGTCCTTTGCCCGCAGCCTGGAGGGAGCTCGGGACGCGGCCCAGAGCCTTGCTCTGGTGGTAGCAGCCGGCTCGTGGCCCCGCTTAGGCAGCGGGCTGGCCCGCAGCAGACTCAGTATTTGACGGGGAAGTGGCGGCCGAGCGAGAATTGACCTTTCATTTATGGAACAGGAGCTGTGGCAGACTTTGGATTCATTCTGATCAGAAGTGAAAAGAAGGGGCTTTAATAGGTGATGTGAAAGTTCAGTGAGAAAAATCAAAAAGTAATCTACCATAGATATAGATATAGATATAAAGTGCCTCACAACAGGTTTTAATACTGTTTGGTGGCATTTCTAAGTATACCAGGTGCAGGTAGAAACTGAATTGTTGAACTGTTGCATTTCCTTTTGAAAAAGACTTTTTTTGCTTCATAAAAAATGCAGCGTTGCCCTTTTTCATTATTGAGAAAATGGAGCTCCTTTTAAGTGAAAGGGAAGACTCTACAGAAGCAATTTTGGAGAGCGACAAGTTGAATGGCTCCTCTTCTGAGCCCAGGTTTGCATGTCCCGTGCTTCTGTGAGTCAGCTGTGATTATATATTGCATTAGCGTTAAAACGGGGGCTCCCTGCACCCCAGGAGCAGCGCACCGACAAAATCTGTGCTATTAATCTGAACAGCTCCCTGCTTCAGAAGATAATTCCGGCCACAGCTTCCAGGCGACTTAATGTGTTTAAAAACCAGTCACTGAGCATGAGTTTAGTTTTTAGTGAGCTGCACGTCCTCGTGCCTCGCTGGCAGCTTTGCAGCAGGGACAGTCTCACGTGGGGCAGTCTGCGAGCGGACGGTGCCGGGGTGCCAGATCACCACGGCTGGTGCTGTCTCCTCATGGGAATTTGATTTTTTTTTTTCCTTAGATAATGCACTTGCTTTAGCAGCCAGCAGCGAGAGTAAGGTGCGGCAGGGCCCAGCCTGCGCAGAAACGCTGCGCACACACACACACACACACCCCCTTTACGTAGATCCCAGTGCCCTCCAGACACAGGTTTGCCCTGGAACCTGTCCTGAGTTCCCTCGACTCTGTCCTCCCTTGGCCCCCCTGACGTTTTCCCAAACTCAAACAAAAGAGAAAATAACGGCCCTACCCACAGCGTTCGCTGCCTTTTGTGCTCACGAGAGTGTGTCTCGCCTGACTGCTTTATCAGCTTTGAGGATAGATACTTTTTCTGTCAAGGCATCAAATTTGGGAAAATTTAAAAAATAGTTTTTGTCAGAGTTTTTTGGCGGAAGACGCAGCCTGCAGGTCTGCACGTACAGATGCCTTCCAGTTTGGCAATGCAATCTGCACCACTCCCTCACTGAGAAACTGCCGGGCTTGTCAGCAGTACCAAAACCAGACTGAATTTTGTGGGCAATTGGAAGACAATTTTACATTGCTCTGTGTTTACAGAACCGAAATCAGACTGGACTAAATTGGGAAATTGCCCCCCACGATGACTACAAGACAGAGTTTGGGGGTCTTTGCATGCTGTTATGAATGAGTGATTTTGATTCCATGTTTCGTGTGCCAACAGTGTAGACTGAGGAACGTTTCTGTCTGTAATAAAGGAAATTATTGCAATTCTGTCATACGAGTTACTCTGCCCAAATCGGCAGAAGGTGGCAAGTGATTGACGCATTATTTCCCCCCCCCCCAAGAAATTCATCCTCAGTTCTTAAGTGTGCTGTTTTTTGTCACTCGAGAAACGCAGAGAAAAATGAGTTTGTTTTTACTTGTAAGGCTTTACTCAGTTGCCCAATTCGGCAGAGGAGCTGGACTATGGGGATCTCTCAGGTAAGGGCTAGTACGTAGGTAAACCGCTGCTCTTCTACGCTAGATACTGGTTCCACTCTGATTTCTGCATCTTGGCCATGTTGCATTGTATAGTCGCTGTGGTGTAGCCATTCCTCCAACGCACGGGCTCGCAGCTTGATGTACGCTGTTTTCTGTTGGGATTCTCCTGCCTTTTTTCTTTTTTTTTTTTTTTTCTTTTTTTTTTTTGAGTTTGGCACCCATTTCTGTGTGGCACCCTTGAAAACGGGGCGGGAGGCGTGCAGAGCGGCGAGAGTTTCCATTTCAGGTTGCCTCCCGGCTGCTAGGCTGCAATTTTTTGAACGCTTATTTGGAGACTGGTTGAGTTGAAACTCGATGTTCGTCAAACGCTCGACTCTGCTGTATTGTGTGAAACCGTCTTCAAAACATGCAGCTGGCGCTCAATCTCGCCTGCTTGGTGATTTCGCATAATGCGACTATCAGATTGGGGACAAAAAGGAGGTAATTGCTTTATCAGCGGAGGCAAAGCCAAGTAAATGGTTTGAACCTCTTTTTATCCACGCTGGACTGGAAGTTACAGAAATACGTCCTCGTAGTTGGTCCCTGCAAATTAGCACTAATCCAGATTAAGAAATAAAAGCATCTTCAGCGGATGCAGCTGGTGTATTCAAAACGGGGGTCGCATCAGTGGTGCGAATCCAACCTCCACGTTTTGCCAGAGTCCTCCTAAGCCTTTTTTAGAAATTCGCCCGATTTTTTGGCTCCCACTTCTCGGCAGCCCCGTTTTGCCCGCTGCAAGCCGAGGGCCGGCTCCGTCGCCCAGGCAGAAGGCGGGAGCGGGCGGCGCAGCCGGGCTGAGCCTCCTCCTGGGCCCGGCCCTGCCCAGGAGCGTTGGGGTCCAGCGCTGCTCCCAGCGGGGCTTTGAGCACCAACCAAAAACCGAGGCCAGAAAAGCGAAGCCCCGAGGCCTCACGGCGCTCTGTGAAACGCTCCCTTTTGTCCGGCCGAACTGGCAGCGTCTCCTCCTGGAAGCCACTATAGGTATGCTTTGGCCAAGAGGTTAGAAATGATTGATTAATTCCGTATGTGTTCTAACGCCTGAGCGATACTAATAATTGTTATTGCAGGCCTGGGCCAGATCTCATAGGTAAGAAGCACTAGAGGTGTCTGTTAAATATCGCTGTCTGGATGGGAAATAATTGTTTTGCTCTGATAAGCTTTGTTACTTTGAAATCTGTATTTTTTCAAGAAAAACACACCTTTTGGTGAATGTAGCGAAGAACGGGAAGCAATTCCAAAAAGGAATTCCTCAAAATGGGTGTCTGCTCGCAGCGGTGCCGTTGCCCGGAGCGCAGTGCCGGCGGCACAGCCACGGGCAGCACATCACGGAGACGCTGTGGCCACCGGCAGCGCCTGCCGCCGCCTCCTGAGTACACAGCTCGGTGTTTCTGTTTTTCTGAATTTCGAAAGTCAAAATTTCCCCAAAACTGTCCCCAAAGCAGCGCAAGCACAGCTGCTGCCGACAGCGAGCAGATGAGCCAGCAGCACCCTTTGTGCGCTACCACACACCCATTTTGGAGCATTTATTTTGACTGTGATTTTTTTTTTTTTTTCCCTAAGAATTTCAAAATTTTGATTGTTGCTCTCTCAATTCCTTTACATACACCCAGAGGGTAACTGTACCAAGTTAAATGTGCCGGTGTCACTAGGGAAAGAGCCCCCGGCCATTCTCTGCTACCAACAAAACTGCCCTCCCTCCCGTGCCCCGGCCCATGCTCCCGGGAGACTGGAACCCGGTGCTGTTTGCGGGCCGTGCTCGGCAGCTTTGGGCTGGCTGAGGGGGAGCGTTGCCCTCCGCTCGGGCATGCTGGCGCTGCCGCGGCGTTTGCCGGGTGTGCTGTTCCTTCCAGGTGCTCCCGTCCCGCCAAACGCTTCAGCTGGCTCTGCCGACCGTGCAGTTGGGTCCCGCAGCCCTTCCCTTCCACCCAGGTAGCCGCTTGCCTGAGCTGCGTTTGCTTCTCCCGGTCGAGCCGTGTGTGTCCGTGCCCCTCGCCAACCTCGTCCCGCGCCCGGCGCTGGGAGGGAGCGGCAGGGTTGGCCTCGCGCTGGCTCGGCGCAGCC